TTCCTATGGGAAACACTGGGCTTGGTAAGGTAGCTCCATATTCCTCAAAGCATATTCAGGATCTCTTTTCTTCTACATGTTAATTCATTTGATTGGAAAAAATCAGTGGCTAAATGGGCATTTAAAGTAAGCATTTTGGTTTACTTTTTATTAAATAAGGACTTTTAGACTTTTCATATATTACAAGACATCAGAATCCCTAACAGGTAAATACTCAGGGTGACTCCTCAAAAATGGAAACACCTTGAACATTTTTCAAACCAACATGAACATGGACTCATTTATTCACTAAAAATATTAGCATAGAGAGGTTCCATGGAAACAAATTTGGGAAATTCCAAGACGGTACAGGTAAAGCTATATATAAAATAGTCACAGAGTTTTAGCAATTGTCCCTGTATGTATAACGTTATGTATACTTACTTCAGATTTAAAAATTAACTGCTTCTTGCAAGGACCAGAGTTCAATCCCCGGAACCAAAAACAAACAAACAAACAAAAAAACCAAAAAACCTGTTTCTCTAGATCCTATTGAATGTTCAACTTAAGAGCTGTTAATTTAACTGAGGTCTTAAATCTCTGAACAGATTATTGTTTCATCTTTATAAAAGTATTTCAGAAAAAGCATAAACTATATCTAATTTTAAACTATTTATTTTGATAACCAAACGCTGACCTATGGGTTTTCCAGTCTCTTTCAGAGACCTAGTGGCAAAAATAAACAATTTGATAGTCTCTAAACTGAAATATTGAGAGATAATACATCAATTTGTTGATTACTATGATCATCAGTATGTTGATGGGCCTAAAATCATTGATTTTTGCATACAAACTCTGCTACAGAAAGCTCCCAAAGTCATTCTTTCTTCCTATGCCAAATACCTCCAAAGCAGCATGCTGAAATACTATTCTAGCAAGGGATTTTGTTTCAAATGTCAAAATCATTTGCTTTTCCAGGTTTTTAGGATAGTTCTGTATGTACTAAATGGTCTCTACACCCCGACCCAGACTCCACGGATAATAAGAGGGCTCTCAGCAATTAGATGTGTTCCATTAAAATATTTTCCCCTAGCTGTAATATAGCAATGGCCAAGAAAAATTGGGGGAGAGATTTTTCCTCTCCACTTTAATAAGTGCACATCCAAGTTGGGCCATGCAGAGTGTCGGCTCAGGCATGCCCCAGGCTCAGCATCCATCTCTCTGCTGCTTTACCACTTGCAGACTGACAGCTAAATTACTGCACAGAAAAAGGTTTCTGTGGGCTGTAACCATAATGCTGCCACTGAAACTAGTTTGTAGGCTAAAGGACAAGCAGATGTTGAAGGACAATTTTCATTATCAGAAAAAGATGAGGTATTAGGGAGCAGGGCAGAATCTGGATGCGAAAACAGCTTACCAAAGCTGAGGACAAAGCACAAAGAGACACTAATTGAGTTGTAATTTCTTTGTCAAGTGACAGGTACGTGCTGAATTCTTGGGTGATCCCCAAATCTGCATCTTACACTCTCTGTACCCAATGGCTAAGCATAGAGAAGGTTTTTACCTATAAATGGAACTGAAATTTGAACAAGGAGAAAGAATCAATGATTTTTTAAAAATAAATTGAATTGACCATTTTCATAAAAATGAACTTTTGTTGATGTATCATCAAACAATGAGACTGGTCACTTACAGAGATAGGAAAATCAAGTTCATATTTAGTAAATTATTTGGCTTATATATACAAGTCACTGAAGTAGGTATATAGGAGATAGTATCCTGGCTTCCTGTACATTGGATTAAGTAGAAGAAAGACATTCTTAAATGTATAGCAGGTTACAATTGTTAGGCAGGCAGGAATCACATTTATCTTAGTGTCTATTGCATGTTCAACTCTCAGCTGAACAGTGCAATTCATTTACCAGGCACTCAGTATATATTTACTGAATTAATTAATGGATATTTCTTACTATAAGGGAGAAGGTAACAATACAAAGTTACAGATAAGTAACTTGGTAGGTTATGAAGGGTAAAGCATTTCCTTCCAATTGGAAGGCTCAAGAATGAGACTTTATAAAGACGTGGTATGAGATTTGGACATTGGTGTTTATAAATAGTTGGAGATTTGGAGTGACACTAAAGAAGAGTAAACGAATGAACAGAAAAGTGGAGAAGCCCTAGGAGTTAACAGGAAATATCAATATTTTAATAGTCAGAAGAAACTGTCCAGAATGCATGAACACACTCCTATCACTCTGAATTTCAGTATGTGATGAAGAAGCAAATGATTTTATAGTTGTCTATGTAACTGAAAGCCATTAAGTCAGATTATACTAGGCCTCAGTAAATGATTGTAGCCCAAGCTATTCTTTTTCAAAATTTCAGGGAAAACCCTTAAGGAGAAGAAATATATTATTGCCTTGTACATTAGCAGTTTTCCATTATGATAAATTAATGCAGTGAAAAACATATACTTTAGGTAGTTTCCTGGGTTAGGTTAGAACTGGTATTAGAAATAGCAGAAATTTGATCCAGACTATGCTCAGTACATGGAATATTGCCAGCCACATAGTATGTGCTTGAAAAATATTTCAGTGACTATTGTGAGAAGTCAAGATTTTTAAAAATCTATCTAGGAAATAGATTATTTTATAGATACGTAAAGGGTTTACTTTATCATCTCTAGTCTCAGGCCATCAAGTTTAAATGCAAAAATTGAAACTGTGAATAAAAATGTCTAATTCACAAGGCAGCCAATGAAAAAAAATTCAATGTTTTCTACTACTCAATATGCAGCAACTTGTGGTTTTTAACTTCTTGAGCCACTTACAAGCATCCTTATTATACCCATGCTATTTATTTATTTTTCAATATCTACTGGCCTCCTAGGATTTTCACTTACAGGAATTATACTCACATTATTTATTGCACAGCATATTACAATGTGGCTGTCCAAAGCACTTTGATGAAGCATCCACAGAAAGGGGTTCAAGGGTCAGCTGAGTTTGGGAAATGCTTTATACTCTGAACTTACTCTCTGAGGTTCAGTTAGTAAGTAACACATTTAAGCTTCTCAGAAACCTTGTGGTAAAGAAAACTCATTACCTCTGTATAATGCAGTGTTTTTCAAACTGGATTAACTATAGAACCTATATGAATGGCTTTCACCATCTTGTAGAACTAGTGTTCTGGATACACCCCTGGGACAACATCCTAAACTACAGCTTACAAACTCAGGACCCTACATTGCATCTGTGTTTTAACACGGAGTAACTGCACACATTAAGGGAAAGAGGGAAGAAAAATGCAGCAAAGTCAATCTGACAAACTTGGGCTGAATTCTCCTGAAGTATCAACCCACTACCTCCTGTGCAACTTGTATGTTTTCCCTGCTTCACGATGGCTCTGCCAGTTCCTTCACACGACTCCCAAATCACATCAGATATTTCATTTTCCTGAAGATCTCTGACTTTAGAATTTAATCTTAAAGTATCTTAATCATTCAGTTGTCCCAAATACCGTCTCACCAAGAAAGGAATGCCAGTATTCAAACAGGAAAAAATGAGTACTGTATAAGATGAAATCTCTTTTGGAGCTAGAAGTAATTTCTATTCATGCTAGACTTCATGGGGACATTGCTGAGTTCCCTACATCAGCACATTGGCCTCCAAATGGTATGTGCCCCATTTTTGACACCTGAAATTCATTCAGCTCTTACAATATTGTGGGAATCATGGGGCACTGCTAGTTGTTTCCGTGAAGTAATTTATTTGTGGATCTTCACTTCCATATTGGATCGTTCCCCACTTCTGATTTTGCATCTTTACAGGCTCACACCCTAATGACTGGCTGCTCTCATGGCCCATGGGATTCCAGATCAAACCCTCCAATATTCTGTTGACAATATTCTACAATATTCAACAATATTGATAATATTCTATTTACAAACAGCACAGGGGCCTTCACAGCAGATTGCCTTCATGACAAAGCTGATTGCTCTCGAGACTGGGGCCTTACTACAAATTTTCAAATATATCATGTTACCTTTTTTGAGTTAACATGTTAAACCACTCAGTTTTGTGATTAAAAAGTGTTAGGGCCAGGGATTTAGCTCAGTGGTTCGGTGGCCTGCCTTGCAAGCTCAAGGATCCAAATTCAATCCCCAGTACCAAAAACAAACAAACAAACCCAAAAAGTGTTAGTTAATGCATTTATAATACATGACCATATTTTCTTCTCTAAGTATTCTTCACTTTTATCTTTTTAATAATGGCAGAGGTCTTTGTCCTATAATTCATTATCATTTCTTGAAACCAACCAATTATATTGTTACCAGGAAGGATGTAACCTTATGGTTTGGACAGGAAGTAAAAGAACTAAAGTTACTAAGAAGGAGCTTCCTGTTTATGTTTTGCACCTTTGGCAAGGAGTGTTTAAAGCAGGATACACACACACACACACACACACACACACACACACACACCCCAACCACTGAGGTCAGACAGGCATTTAGATCACCAGGTAATGATTTGGGTATGGAGGAAGGGGCACATGCATTGGCTTCCAGTGTGGTTTTGTTTCAATAAAACCTCAGATCCAAAGTAGCAAGATATATATTTATATATATATTTGGGGGGGCAGGGGTGTCACGCGCCATTATTTCCGGGTTCTTCATGCCCTGCATGAATCCCGGATGTGAGTCCGCTGGTGACGGCGGTTCACGCCTGCGCAGAAGGGGCGCTTGGCTCGTCAGAATGACGCAGGCCGGCATTGACCAATAGAAATGGGCTACGTCACCCGAGAGGCTATAAAAGGCAGGCTCGCATCCGGCTCGGGGTCTTTCCGCCATCTTGAAGAATGTAGAAGAACCTCCAGTAAAGCGTGCATCAGAAGAATCCTGAGTGTTGCGTGTTCCTTGCTGGCGAGGTGCGCGTAACAAGTGGTGCCGAAACCCGGGAAGCGACAACCATCATCGCCGGCATCAGCGGAGACCCCTGACTTCAGGAGGATTCAGAACTGAGCAGCAGGAGGGGAGGATCCACCAACTTTCCGAGAGGTACACTGTCTGGTGTGGGCGGGTGTTTTAATTTGTTTACTCCAACAGGTTTAACTTTGTCGGTCGCCCACTTTCGTAGATAAGGGAGAAATGGGGAATTCTACTTCACAATCACTGGTTTATGCTTTACAAAGCCTGTTGAAGGAAAGGGAGTTAAAAATATCGGAGCAGGTTTTAAGGAGGTTTTTAAAGGAAGTGGATCGAGCGGCGCCCTGGTTCAGCGGTACCGGGTCACTCACGATCCCATCCTGGGAAAAATTAGGAAAAGACCTCCAGCGAGAGAAAGATAAGAATACCTTAAGACCGGGGGTTTTACCAGTGTGGAAAATGATTAGGGCCTGTTTGGAGGATAAGCGCTGCAATGATAAGGTGCGGGAGGGACAAAAATTGTTTAGGGAGCATCAAGACAGTGTATCAGAAACGGAGAGGGAAGAAAGAAGTAAGTCTAGACAAAAACGGAGAACAATGGGAGCTCAAGAAGAAGGGAGCCAAATTTCCGGCCCTATTGAGGCCTCAACGGGCCTCTACCCTGCCCTAGATGAACTAAAAAGATTAACATTAGCAGAAAAGGAAAGTAATTCGGAGGGCTCCTCGGAGGACTCCGAGACCGCGTCGGAGTCCTCAGGGGAGCCGCCCGAAAAAGAGGAAGTAGTAAGATAATTCAATTGGCCAAAACCATCTGAGTGCACTCGTTAAAATTGTCTTATATGTTTGTCTGTCTTAAGTGTTATATGTTTGTCTGTCTTAAATGTTCAAAGATGTTTGTATGTTCTTGATCAGAATGACGTCAAATGCAAGTAGATTGTTGATTTCTACAACCTGGCTTTATAGGATCAAATAAAAAATTTAAAAGATATTTAAATACAACCTTCAAGTTTGGATATGCTCCTGTTGGTGAATAAAGAAGCAGCTGCTCAGAAAGTTTATTCTGATCTTTGTTCACTAATGGGAGCCACCAAAATAATTTTTTATAGCCTTATAAAAAGATACATCTTGTTAAATATGTTGTTGGGAATATTGTTGGTTATCAAAGGTCTGAATTACAAATATGTTTCTGATGGTTATTTTCTGTTAAAAAAAAAGGGGGGGGGAGATCCTGTTGCTACAAAGCCACATTACAGGATATAAGAATTCATTATAATTATTATTGCTATTTTTCTGATATACAAAATGTATTTATATTGTTTGACCATGCAGGTTTTCCAGCATATTGTTTATGACAATAACCCTTTGGTCCAGGTATTCTCTCTTCTCTTCTGCTCCACCTACTTATGGTTAGTTCTTTTCACCACCAACAACAGGACCATCAACATCACCACAACACTTCAATGGTCTGCACAACATCACCTTTGCACCCACTCCAGTTTGTGTGTGGCCACCATTTCTTTGGCTTGTGGCTAATGTGACTCTCTCACAGACTATGGAACTGAATTGTGCCAATGATACTTGTTGGTACGCATCCTGCTGGGACGCTACCAAATTTCCTCATGCTGTGGTCGTTCGAATGCCTCGATTCATTCCTGTGCCAACGGAAGTGATGAATCCCTTGAGTATTGTAAGATCTAAGAGAGACTTTGGGATTACGGCAGCAATAGTATCGGCGATAACTATTGCAGCCGCTGGTGCGACCGCAGCCGCCGTCTCTCTTTCCACGTCAGTACAAACCGCAACCGCTTTGAATAATTTGTCAGCCAATGTAGCCTCTGCGCTCGATATGCAAACCTCTGTTAATGCCCATTTGAAGGGAGGGTTAATGATTGTTAATCAAAGGGTTGATTTAGTGCAAGAGCAACTTGATGTGTTATGGCAATTGGCCCAAATAGGATGTATGTGGAGGATGCCAGGACTCTGTGTTACACCTGTACAATATCATAATATGTCAGAAGCTGCGAATCTATCTAGGGAACTCTCTATGTATTTGACATCAAATTGGACGGGACGTTTTGATCACTTGGTTAGACAATTGAGAGTAGCCATTGCTCATGTTAATTCTACCCGAGTAGACATTGTTTTTGCACAAGGTATATCTGATTGGATTGCAAGTGCTGTATCTATTCTGAAGGATTGGGCTGGAATGGGATCAATGATTGCTTTGTTGGCTTTGGCAGTGTTTTTGGGATTTTGGTGGTTATGTAAGATGAGACAACAGAGACAAAATGATAATATGTTGATGCAAGCTTTCGCTGCCCTTGAAGCCGGATACTCGCCTGCTGCCTGGTTGGCCAATTTACAATAGTAGCGTGAACGTTGGTCAATATTCTGCCTATGCCTTGCTCATTCAGAGGCCATAAATATCTGCATCTCTCTACCTCCTTGGACATGGCCTCTGCACTCTGTGGATTAGTCCATTGCACCAGAATCAGGCATGTCTTTTTACAATCTTGTTGATCAGCCTTTGCACCGCTCAGAGGTTCTCCTCATTGCACGAGCTAAGGTGATCCAACAGTTGCTCACATGGAATACCTGCTTCGACCACCTTTCGGCCGGGGTGGTTGACAGGCTCCTCCTGAGCTCTAGTTATTTTAAGGAAGGGGGAGATGTCACGCGCCATTATTTCCGGGTTCTTCATGCCCTGCATGAATCCCGGATGTGAGTCCGCTGGTGACGGCGGTTCACGCCTGCGCAGAAGGGGCGCTTGGCTCGTCAGAATGACGCAGGCCGGCATTGACCAATAGAAATGGGCTACGTCACCCGAGAGGCTATAAAAGGCAGGCTCGCATCCGGCTCGGGGTCTTTCCGCCATCTTGAAGAATGTAGAAGAACCTCCAGTAAAGCGTGCATCAGAAGAATCCTGAGTGTTGCGTGTTCCTTGCTGGCGAGGTGCGCGCGACACAGGGGTAATGAAGGTATATTGTTTGTGATTGCCAAAAGTTAGTAATACTACTTTCTTTCATACAACTCGGGCCTTGGATATGAACTGTCTGCTATGCAATTACTGACATCATTCCTTCCACAAAAATTTATTAAGCACTTACTAATGGACAGGTTTTATATTTGAGCATAGTAGAAATAGCAGTAAGGAGACAGGCTTTCATGAAGCTTACTATGGAGTGGTATTATTTTTAACAAGACACTACATTCTTATGTTTTAGTGACTCCACTTTGCATTTATTTTGGTCAATAATACTGTAAGAAAGACAAGCATGGCAGACTCAGTCCAGGAGATTTGAACTTGGGAGCCCAGGGCAAGGAAAAATCATGAATGAAATTCACTGTGGCTATGCTTTGAATGCTAATATTCCCTAAAGCCTGGATCCTTCCTAAATGGAAGCCATGAAGCAACAGAGAAAAACTGCTAGCATACTGACTATGCTAAAGTAAGAGATGAGTGGGGAGTTAATTTCATCTCATTCTGTAGATAAAATAACAGGGGTCTAAGGAACCTTAAATATTGAAGATGTAATCTTTATAAAAGACAGACTTTGCCTTGCACTTGCACATAGGTTAAGTAAAGGTAAAACACTCAGGATTGTGCCTGGCAAAGCTACTATTTTTAATCCCTACTGTGTCTTCTGTGTTTTGTACATTGTAAATGGTAAAATGTTTACATACCTCTCTATCTGAAAGATCTTTGGTAATGGGATATTGCTGTCTCAGGCACTTTTAAGTACCTACAGGGTGTCGGTGGCTTTATTTTGATAATCTCTTCTAACTCAAATAGTGCTTAGCACAATCCTTGATGTCAGTGATTTCTAGTTAAGTGCTTATTGAACTGAATTAGAAAGTGGCCTAAATTTATTCAATTAACACTTCTCCCGTAGTTACCACTATGGGCTACCTATACAACCTCCTTCCCCCTTAAAAAAAGACACGTTAAACTCCAGAATGTGACTGTATCTGGAAGCAGGCTTGTTTCAGATGCATTCCCCGTGAGATTATACTGGAGTAGAGTGGGCCTCTAATTCAACATGACCCGTATCTTACTATAAGACAACTATGTGAAGACAGACCTGCAGGGGAGAAAGTGTTGGTAAAGGCAGAGATTGGAGTAAGGATGTGGGGAGTTAAGGAATTCAAACAGTTGCTGCCAAACAATCAGAATCTAGGACGAGTCAAGGAAGGACTCCTCACTTCAGGTTTCGAAGGAGGCATTGCCCTGCTGACACCTTGATTTAGACTTTTACTCTCCAGTGCTGTCAGACAACATATCTGTGCTGTTTTGCGCCACTCGCTTTGTGACATTCTGTCGTAACAACCCTAGGAATTTACAGTCACAACTTAACTTCACTGAATCATTCATGTAAGTAGTTGGATCAGATGGTCTTCCCACCCTTAGCCACCTGATAAAATGCACTATTCATTTTGGACTTAGATATTTGTATATGAAGTTCTTGTTATGCAAGGATCAAAACAGACTTGATAGTCACAGAAAATGTTCATTCATTTAACTTTCCCTTCCTCCTTCCTCTTTCAGACATTCTTGAAGTATGCCAGATAAAACAGCATGACAGTGTATATATACACAGGCAGCCTCACACATGTCAAGGTGCAATCCCCCTGAGATTTACAATGCCCTCCCCTTTTATAATCAGGTAAGTAGTCAGGGAAACATGGGGGATTTCTGAGGCCGACTTGGGAAGAGAGATCACATTGGGAAGTTTCCAGAGTTCTTAGGGTGCTCCAAGAACTCCATTCAATATGAAATCCTTCCTTGTTTTGGTGGAAAGATGCAGCAAATAAATTTGGTACAATATATACCAGTTAATTCAACAAAATGTCAAACTGTCTGGGAAAGCCCTTGGAAAGGTTTACTTTCTGTGTCACCAGGGAACTGAGTGATAGGAAGGAAAGCTCATGAAAATGAGATTTTCTCTAACTTCTGCCTATGGTGAATAAATCAATGGGATTTTTCAAGTCCCCTCAATATCAATGAGTTTATTTCATAAGCAGGCAAATATTCACAGACTCCAAATAATCTCCTTCTAGTACTCTTGTCCTTCCTCCCTTTCCTCTTTTAGTCTAATTGCTTGCTTCTCTCTTTCTCTTTTTTTCTTTTCCCATTCCTTTCCTTTTTCTTTGCCATTTTCTTGGCACAAGTATATGAGAAAAGATCTCTCTGGCAACTGCCGCCTTTCATCTCTCAGCTTCTAAAAGTCATGATGAGTATGATGTGTCTTGACTTTGTGAGGTTTTTTTTTTTTTTTTCCCCCTCTAAGATTTAGTCTCCCTGCCCTGAACTGAGTTTAGGGTAATTGTGTATCTGCTTGAGGGCTGAATGCAATCTTTAGCCTTTTTCATAAAGTTTATGGCCCTGGTGCCCCTTTAAAGGTCTCATGTGGCTGATTGATAGGTTCATTTCTGATACTAACCATAAAGAATTGGCCATCCTCAAGATAAGCCGCTCCTCCCCTGAGCATTACTGGAGGTAAAGGCGGGTTGCCCTTAAAGATGAAACCATCATTATGGATGGTACTTCTTTCCTCAATCAGAGTCATCCTTCAGCAGCTCAGGCAGTGCACTGTGCTGAGGGACTGCACCATGGGACATATCTGTTTAGCTAAGTCCTTTTAGTTAATGGGTGTCTAAGGATTAAAACATCCTCATGCACAGGTGGAAGAAAGCAAGGGCTAACACGCATCTCATAGCTTCTGTTAATTTTTTCTTGGGTCCATTAACCAAAGGACTCAGCAAACTCACAAAATCTCCAACTTAAACTCTAGTGCTTAATCTAAGTATCCCCCAGATATTACCCCTTTAACACTGGTTTTCTTGTTTCCACCTCAACCTATCTTTTAACTATTCTTCATAGGAAAGCGTGGTAAACCTGTTTTACTTCTGCAACTTGTATATTCTACAAACGAAGATGTCTGCATCACAAATGACATTTGAATTCTTAGGAAAAGAGAGAAGAAGGAACAGGGAAGAGGAGAGGGGCTGACAGGAGGAGAAGAGACACACTTGTGACCGGGAGTGGGAGATTTTATGAAGGTTGAACTTTAATTCTTAATTACAGATATAATTTCCTGCACAAAGTGTGTTAATTTGTCCCTAGCCAAAGACTGTGACATAGATGCTTCAGAGGAACTGATAAAACCCGACAGCCTAACAAATGTAGGAAGCTGAAGAAAGGAGCCAAATACCAGAATGAATTAATGGTGGAGTGATAGGTGAAGCACATTTGTGAAGGGAAACTCATCAACCAAATATTTCCTAAACAATTTTTATAGAGTAGGTATAATACCAGGACTATGGGCTCAGAGATAAGGCATGGCCAGTGCATAGAAGAAATTCGTATTTTAGGTAATGGGAACTTCAGAACTGTACATCATTACATTAAAATGTTAGAGGATAATAAAAAATGTATAGAAATGTTGCCAATACCTCTACTTCCACACCTATTTGTAGTTTCTTTGCGTCATTGCATCACAAAAAGCCTCTTGTTTGATAAATGGACCATTTCCTCCATCTTGGAACATTCTCTTCTGTCTTTTGTGTACTACATTCTCCAGTTTCCACTTACAGTCACAACTTACAGTCTACTTCTCTAATTGTATCTTTTCAATCTCTATTAAATTTAAACTCATCTTCTGTTGTCAACTACTAAATGTGATTTCACTAAGGTTCCGTCCTGGGTTCAATTCTCCATTCTCTGAGGCAATACCATTCAACATTTAGCTTTTTACATACCACGGACACTCAGATCTCTCTAGGCAGACTTCTCCCTCTACAACCCATGTGGAAATTTTCCCTTTCCCAGGTACTTACCCAGGGTTACCCTTGTGAGGGCACTCTAACAGATAGGTATCTACCTGTGTTTGCCAGTCAGGACCCACGCCAATGTTCAACTGTGTATTTTCAGTGTTTAATTTGGTATCAGTTATGTTGTAGGTATTTACCATTTGTTGCCCTGCTAACTAGACCTGGGACAGGGCTTGGGGGAAGGATGCCCAGTACTACCCCCACGTAGTGGGGAGCTGAGCCATTCTGCATCGACACTGTGGATATGTAACCAGACACCCAAGGTAAGCTACTTAAAAGAGCAAGTTATTGGACGATACTCTAGTAATTATAAGAGATTTAAACAAGGTAAGAAGGAAGGACTGTGTCTTGGTATTGGCAGGAGATTGATTCCAGGACCCCTTGTGGATTCTAATCTGTGAATGCTGAAATTCTTTCTATAAAATGCATATAGCCTATGCATATCCTATACTTGGAATAATCTCTAGTTACTTATAATATGCAATGCAATGTAAATGCTATATAAATAGTTGCTATAATAATATCTGGAGAACAATGGCAAGAGAAAAAAGGTTTGTATGTATTTTGTACAATTAAATAAAAATATTTTCAATGTGCACTTGATTTGATCTGTGGATATGGAACCCATGAATAAGAAGGTCTGACTATATACAGAAAAAAAAATTTTTTTTGGTACTGGGGATCAAACTTGGGTCCTTGAGCTTGTGAGGTAGGTGCCAGAACCACTGAGCTAAATCCCTGACCCTATATATGGAAATTTAAATAAAAATTATTTTCTATATTTTCAAAATTTTGTATACTTATATACAAATTCAATAAGTGGAAATTTAAAAAATTAAAGTTCTTTGGAGATCTGTTTTATTAGGTAAGAGAGAAGTTGTGTGTGTATGTTTGTGCAAACACATACACAGAGTCAGAGTAGTGAAATATGAAAGACAAAGATCTAGTAAGAATTCTAGGAGCTGGAATTCTAGGCGTTAAAACACATTTTTCTTCAATATACAATATTGGCTCAATTATTCAATAAATTTTTCCAAATTGCCTTTGTTTCTAAGTGACTGTTAGGGAAGAAAAGGGCATAGAGAAATTATGTAAATGGCCTGTCATTCCTGATTTTCAAGTATTAAAGCCAGAAAAGTATTTATAGATAATAAACTTGAATTTTAACATATGCTCTCTCGAATTTTAACTCAGTACAAAATCTTTATAATGAGTAGCAGACACCAACATCCTAGTCAACTAATTCAAGCCATCAAAATAAACAACCCTTATGAAAATGAAAATTGAATATCACATTGGAGAAATTGAAAGCATATTTTATCAAAGACAATTTATTATCTGACAGCCTTGGAAAACAACAGGAAAATTATGTTACATTAAAATGAAAAGGCAACAGCTTCTTTCAGCATCATAGTAGTAAACCTTGGGTCACTCAAAAAAAAAAGTTTATTTTACATGTTGGCACTATGTGACCTTTTAAAAAAAATTTAGTCAAGGAAAATAAAACATACTACTGACCCTGTAGAAGAAAGCAATACTAATTTATTTTTAAAAATTCTTTATTGGGTAGAAAAACGATTCTACAGAGCTACCTCACAAGCCATCACAGTGTTACAATCATGAGGTATGCTAAGCAAGCAACACTGGCTTCCTTTCCTTTGAAATTAAAGTCATTGGTCACCAATGCCTTCCCTTCATACATCAAACCTCTGACATCATTCTTTGCATGTGTGGTCCTTGTGAACCAGTAAGCGTAAGGCATTCACACCCTATATCCTCAGAAGTGGTATCAAATTAAGTGTCAAATATCTCCTAACCTAACCCCAATTCATTTGAGGGATTTTCAGTCTCTTGTCTACTGTAATAAGAACAGCCACGAATTTGGAGCAATGCTTTGGGTAGAACAGTCATGTTCACATCCCCATTTACTGAGAACTGTTAGATAATCTTATGAATGGCAACACAAAAGTTCACTAGAAGGTGGCTCATCTAGGGAAAACACTTTTAGCGCCTCAATTAGCATAACATGATCAGCACTCTTTACAGCCAGTATTGCTTGTATAGTTGCTTTATGTTATTTCATTAGTTTATTATCATTCCCTGAGTATCGAAATACATTCAACTCTCTTTTGAGATACTGTCTAGAAGAAAAGCATAGCTATAAATCCAATGAGTACCTTTTAATGCCAAAATTTCAGAAAACCAGAATTTTAGTAAAGTATTATTTTATATATAAACTAAATATATTCAAGTCATGAGAATCTCAAGTTCTTGGCAAGGGCTTTTAATAACTGAAAAATTAAAAAGTCTTACTGCACCTCAAGACCATAATGTTAAGTGAAAGAAATCATCAGACACAAAGCTTGATTAAGCACATGGTTTCTCTTACATGAGAAACCAGAAGTATAAATAAAGAACAAAATAAAAAACATAATAGGAAACAGGAAGATAGATCTTTTGTAAATGGGAAGAGGCCCAAGAGATTGGGGGCAGGGTGTGAAAAAAGAATAAGATGTGTTATGTACATGTACCAACTCCCCATGAAAATATAATCATCAGGTACTGTATTAATAAACAAATAAAAATTTAAAAAAATAAATTAAGGGGTTGGCCTGGAAGACTCATGGTAGTAACTACAGAAAGTTTAAAAAAAAAAAAAGGTAGTGCTAGAAGAGTACTTAATATCAAGTATACTTAACTAATTTATGCTTTGCTCCCATTCCTCAACTAAATGAGCTCATTGATCATGACATTTTTATGGTGTCGAACAACCTCAATGTGTAGACAGCTCTGAGGCTGGGAAGGCTAACCCATATGGTAGTAGTCTAGAGAGACACAGGGCTCTTCCACTTTCTAACTACATTAGAAATCATAAAAATCTGATATCATTAGAAATCATAAAAATCACACTTTCTTCTAGTATGAGAAATACTAACATATGAAGGTATTAGTTCCCTTTTTATGTTCCTTCTCTACATCTTACAGTAGCTTGGGTAAAGATGCCCCCTTTTTGGAGTGCTTCCCCCAACCTTCTCCTGGAACAATGAACTACAAGGGCCATAAACATCCCTTTATAATACTAAAAGTTTCAGTATGCACTAGACAGGAGTCTGTTTTTGGATAACCACCAACTGAATGTACAAAGAACTTTTTAAAAAATGCTGCTTTTGATTGCTGATGTCATGGACATTGGCAAGAATATTGAAGCTGTACATCAAAAAGGTATTTTGGGAATAAGTCAGCATAAGAATAAAATAGAGCTCTCGTAAAATTGAGAGATCTCTTTTGTATCAAAGTATATTTATGAGATAATATTTCAACAGAAATGAGAAAAAATGGAAATCCACTGCCATTATATTACTATTTTGTTGAGATGGCAATCTTATAATGAAATCTAAAATTCCAGCTCTCATATCCTAAAGTGGATGCTGGCTTGCTTTAATCTTGGTTATCGTTATAACACTAAAGCAATCATCAAAATTAGCTTTGGCATTTACAAAAAAGCAGTCTGGGTTCTACCTTTCTTCTTTACATCATCTCTTCTCTAGCTCAACAGCTGCCTGACAACAAAAGTTCAATACTCAACTGCAACTGGAAAGGGGGAGATGACTGCCATTGGGCATGTGGTGTTAAATCCAAAAGGAATACTGAATTTGAGCTTGGCTCTCCCAAACCACAGCTTCGAATTCTATTAAGTTTGATTCTGAAAATGAGTCTCTATTGACCCCATGCAAGATCTTAACCTCCAGGATTTCTGTTCTTTCATCTGTAAAACAAGTACCTTGAACTCAGTGTCTACAGACTCCTTTGCATGCAGAGGTTTTACGATTGCTATGGTCTTCAAGCTGTTCCTTTAACTCAGCTATTTGAATCATCTAGGCATGAATTATGCTGTGGTGGAAAGTAACTTTTACTCTATGTAGTATTTTTATTTAGGCTTTATGCACTTTTTTGGTTTTTATATTAATAACTATACCTAATGTGGATAAGTCACAATATTACTACAAATAGCAAATTAGCTTCACTTATTCTAAATAGAACATAAATCATAAAAACAAGAGACAGAGACAAAAAACAGTGTATTTCAGTACTGTTAAATGGTGTGGCTCGAGGAAACCTGTGAGCTTCAACACCAGTTTGGCTTTGTTACAAACAGCTACAAAAGATGTCACGGAGTCAAACTGCCTTTAAAAGCCGTAATCAGAAGACCTGTATGGGAAATAAAATACTTTCCTCTTATAGGGTCTAATTTGATTTAAATCATTCTAGATACTACCACAGATGTAGATTTCATTTTTCTTGGAAAACTATAGTGATGACTAAAAGAGACTCAAGTCCGGAAGCACTGGTAACCTTTTCAACTCACTGACTCTAAGAAGTGATCTCAGAATCTGTCCTAATTTCCGTAATTCTTCTCCTGGTATTGTCTGAAAGCCAAAAGGAAGAATCATGGGCTCCATGCGTTGCATGTTCTAAATCTCTTCATTCCTTGTTTTGAAAATGTGGACTTAAAATATCTTTATAGAGGCATTCACATACTGTGCAATATACTTATTTAAAATATAGCATTTGATAGTTATATTTATTCAAAGTTGTCTAATCATTATCTAACTTTTTAAACAATTTCCTTCAACAAAAGAAACCCCATACCTATTAGCAGTAATGAGTCCGCATGCCACCCACCTAGCCCCACTCCTAGGTGATCAGGAATCTACTTTGTGTCTATTGATATATTATGTATAGTTTGTATAGATGGAAACATAGGGACACGTGCTATTTTTTGACTGGTTTCTTTCCCTTAGAATTCTGTTTTAAAGGTTTATCCAAATTATAATGTGTATTATATTTTCTTTCTTTCTTTTTAATGCTGAATCATATTCCGCTTATAGAGGTAACATGTTTTTATTTATCTCTTTATCAGTTGGTGGGCAGCAAGAGTATTTCCATGTTTTGCCTATTATGAATGATATTGCTATG